TAAAGATGGTTTCATTATTTTTGATTTTCAAGTATTTTTTGTCTTGCTTAATTTAAAATTTCTGGCATTTCCACATTTTTTAAATTTCCACATTAGAATAAGGAGAGAAAGGCACTTAATGAATACTGTTTTTCAACAACACAAACTAACTAACTGTCCATTCCAAAATTGTCAGTTTCTTAAATATAAATTATTATTTATTGTAATTGTGGCAGAGTCTGGTGAATCAGGAATAGTAATGAGTCTTCTCTACATCGTAGAGCTGCTGCTGATTGACAGGACTCCTTTCTATCCACACATCAAAAGATTCTTCAGTGGCAAAGGGGACAAAAAAACAGATGTAGACAGAAGTCCAACATGTCTCTGCTGTCACCGTCTGTCTGGCAACTCTACCGGAGTCCTCCAGTAATGCTTGTATGAATGGATTGTTCACTGTGAAAGACTGAAACAATGTTTGACGATCCTGATCCAAGAAACATCACATTTCAGTGATTCTTAACACATCATTCTTCAGACTCCATCCCATCTTTACATCTTAATGTTTTATTGTATGGCCCAGAGCTTTACTGTTCTGGTTCCCTCTCACCAGTCTCGGTCTCATTTTCAGCAGCAGTCAGCTGTTTTTGGCAAAAAGGCTCCGATAAACCCCCACTCTATACTACTCACCCAGTAAATAATCTCACACAATGTAAGCAATAAACTTAAGATGGAGTTCAAGATGGTGTCTCCTCTAAGGTTGTGCTGGAGGTTCTCCACAGGAGGCTTGCATCAGCATAGGCCCCTGAGGGGACTGCTGAGTCCCCTCAGGTGGCTGAGCAGGTGGCCTATGATGGTAGAGTCAGGACCCAAGATCCAGCGCTGGCTCATTACCTCAGGAGGCAGGACCGGCAGCTGGGAGATTGGAACATCTCAGGAACTAGAGCAAGAGGGCGAAGGCATTGGGGGGTCCCCTCGGGACCAGGGACCAGAGTCATAGGCGAGTTCCCTCTTGAGGATGACTTGGTGGCTGATGTTGGAGGTCTTTTAGGAGGCTGGCTCTGGGTCTTCCAGGGCTGAATCCGACACTGTCGGCCACTAACACACCTGATGGCTGCAGCCACCAGGGAAACTGACTGGAAACTAGCAGGCCAAAAGCAAGTGAGAAGACTGACATACTGCAGACTGTAAGCTAGCAGGATAGGGGTCAGGTTTGTCATGTTTAGGACTGCCTGTCGGTATTTCATGAAAAAGGGAATTTCTAGATTGGATTCGCTTAAGTTTTTAGGATCTAAACTGCAGACACAACAAATGCAGGTGGGTGCAGTGCAGAGGACTTAAAGAGAAATTAAATGCTGGTTCAAACGATGTTGAACAAAAACGATTAATTGACAAATGGACTTGAAGCAGAGAGAATAAACACACATGGGAGGCAAGGGTAATGGGACACTAAGGGCAGGGCAATCACAGAGCTGTTAGGCAAAACTTGTAACAGCTCTGTCTTTTTGGTTTTTTCCCTTTGCTTCCTGCGATATACTGCTTTTTTTTGTTTGCATGCACATATACTGATCAATAAGTCTCCCTGGGCAGAATAAAGGTTATTAATGATGTCTCAGCATCCCTGACAGTGGTGTGGTGTGACTTTTACACATAAGCAAGTTTCAGTCTGCAACCTTACCTTCACATACCCACTTACCTTCTGTCTCTCGCCCACTTAATACGAATACAACTTACACAATGATCTAATGGCACTACTTGTACAACAATACTTTGTGTCAAAGGTACTGAAAGATAAAGATGACAAATCTGCTCCTGCTAGCCCTTAATACTTACGAAGAAAAGAAAGTTGAAGTTATTCCAAGTGCATCTGAAGATATTTTTAATAATTTGTGCAAGATAACTGATCTCAGAGCAGTGGAAGTGGAGTCAATAGCAGCTTGACAAGCACTTGTTTGTAGCTATAGTCCGTAACCAGAGATCAGGCTTGATCCTCAAAGTGGAAAAATCCAAAACAAGCTGCTCTCCCCTCTGTTTGACAAGCCCAAGATGGCAATGGTCAGACCCATAAAAAGCGACAGATGCAATGGATGGACGACAAGCCAATTTCCAGAGACAATGACATGCTGCCGCCTCAGGAGGGTAGTAAATTACAAAATGAATGCAAACAGGTAACATCTGATCCTTTATGGGGCGCAGTGCGTTTCTGAGATATGAAGTAAGAAGAGATATCCCTTCCACCGGTATTGTCTTTAGTTTATGTCTGTTTTTAGTTTTAATCGGTAGAGCACTGCTTGACTCGGTTGCCCTGACGACACGGCACTGCCATACATACTGTTGTTAATGAGAAATGATGTGGAACAAAGATATTCAATGTTTCCTGCCTGGAGAGAAAGCTGTCATGATTGATGAATCACTTTATGGGAATCAAATCTCAGGCATTGCTTTTTTGTTGAGGGGCTGATTTCCCAGCCAGCATTTTTTATTATTAGTTCTTAACAGTTCCTGAAGCTGTGTAGGTATGTTTCCGAACACACAGCAGTGATTTAATGGAGGATGGCCTACACAAAAGTAACGCACACTCACAAACACACACTGTGTAAACAGGGAGTTTAACTCATCGCTTTGTCAATATTGTTTCAACTGTGATGCTAATGTAGCAAAGTGAGGTGAAAATTTAATTGAAATCAAAGGAGAGAAAGAGAAGAGATGAGTAATGATAGAAGAAGAGAAACAGGCCAGTGAGTATCTGTCACTGTGTGTTTGTGTTCATGTGTGTGCGTTTGCTTGTGTGTGTGTTGCCTGAGGAACAGTTGATGGATTTGCTGCTTGACTGCTCACACAGATTGGTGTCTGCTGTGATGGCAGCCTTGAACTGAAATAACATGCATGCTCTCTCTCTCTCTCACACACACACACACATACACACACACACTCACCTACACACAGTAACACAAACAGAGACCTACACATAATTGCAATGTCTTTGTGTGCGAGCGTGTTTGTGTGTATTCCTAAGTTCTTGAGGATGAGCGATTGTGTTGCCTCTAGGAGGCCATTTCAAAGTGCTGTGGAAGGATGGATGATCACCAACCGAAGGCCAACCAAAGCACCAGAGAGGATGAGATGATTGAACTGGTTCAAAGTGCTGTGTTATGCATTCATTAATAGCAGTTTATTAGATTCTGTCAGTTGCTTTCTAATTTTCACTGAATCTGAAACAAGGTTGCTATAGCTTCTTTTTCTATATATTTACAACTGCAGGGTGTTTCTTTAATCAAAATCAAGGTCTTAATGATATATGCGTAAATTATTAATTATTTTAATGTTTTTTTTGTAATTTTGGATAAAATGTATAATCAAAAAATTATAATAATGTGTGTCATGAAATTTGTAGTAAAAATGTTTAGTTTGATGTATTATGTTGTTTCCAATGGACAAATAGGTCAAGGATATTTTTGGAGCTGCTGGTAGGTTGTGCCAACCGAGCATCTACTGTACATAGGATGAGGAAAGATGTAATGAACATCTAAATTTCACCATGGAAAATATCTAAGATAATTAATGTCATGAACTGACTAGAGATAAAAATACACACAAAAAAACAACAGTGGAAAGAAGTTTAAGCTGGAAATAACCAATAGATTAGTAGATGTAAAACAGTGTAGTGAGCTTCTAAAAGGGGCAGTAAATAAATTCTAACTAAATTTAATTATTTCTATATGCTGTAGAGGGACATTGCCCAGGGAAGCTTCCATTTCAGGCCAGTGATCAGAACATAAACCAAAAACAGCACAACAGGCACAGTTGTTAGTGTGAATGATTGTAATACAGAAGGCTTTTACCAGACTGTACTCACTGTGCTACTGTATTGTCATAAAATGAATCTGTAGCAGACATAGACTATATACAAAATGATAATGTTGTTCTTCAGCACCCTACTTTTCATTTTATGAAGGTGGCAAACACGTCTTAGCTGACCCAGGGGTCAGTCAAACTAACAAAGAAATACTAGACAGGGGATCCTCAGTCCTGAAACTAAAACTACAAGCATGGGAGCAAAAGAGAAAGCCATGCTTTAAATAACCCTGACACTGATTAAGACCAACTGGCAAGGTAGGTCAGTGAAGCTGACAGGGCTTCACCTAAGAGTCATGAATAGAACATGCTCACTACCACACGTCAGTTTATGTGAAGGTTGATCATTTTGAGATCGATCCTCCAGGCTTTCAAAGCTGAGGTATATAGATGGGGTATTGTTGTATAGATGTAGAGTAGATTCATTCTGAAATATCTTTGCACTGTGCTGGTTCATATACAGTCAAAGACTAATTCTGATCCACAGTTCTTCTAAAAGAAATGATTGACTTTAGTGACTGGGTCCATTCGGTTGTAGAAAGCTCAGATTAAATGAAAAGAAGTATCTTGACTATTGTTATTTTTTGTAGAGTGGAAGGTTGATCTAACATTAGACTGCAGTTAACTCTCAAAGTCCATAGGCAATACTCAGGTGCTTAATACTGTAAATGTAAAAACAATATATGACTGATGGCATCCACTAATCAGAAGGTTGGTGAATTAGAAGGCTTAACCTCCCTTTGAGTGGTCCTTGGGACTAAAAATCTGCTGTATAATTGATTGATTTATTGTATGTTCTGAGATTAAATTAGATCATCTACATCCTGTCTGTATTACAGGGATTCTGAGGATAAAGAAAAACATTTGCGTATTGACTGATTGTGTGTACTGATATATGCATAGTTCTTCCCTTTTCTTTTCAATTTTGTCAGACAGTGCTGCAGTGTGGATTATTTGAATTACCAAAAAGCAGTTGAGTGTGTGTGTCTCTGTCGGGTTATATGAAAATATACTTCCTTGTTGTAACCTCAAAGATAGTGACAGTAACAGTGTTCATCAACATCCAATGAAGCCGGTTTTGTTTTGTTTCATTTTGACTTGCTTTATTTTAATTCCTTCATTTTTTCATTCCTCCCTCCCACCTTTCCTTTTTTCTCTCTATACAAAAGTGGTGCATCGGGAAACAGCAGCAGTGAATCAGAGAGCAGCTCGGAGTCGGACACAGACGAATCAGAGAGCAGCTCCAGTGACAGCGAATACAACCAGGCCTCACGCACAAACACGCCAGAGGTAGGATGACAAGTGTGAATAGGTGTGTTAATGTGTCTTCTCTGTAACTGTGAGCACACAGTGGATTAAAAGTATAGAATGGATAACATAAGCAATTCAGTTTGAAACCATTCTTTCTCGTAAGTAAACAAGTCAATTTAAATTTTTGTGTAAGAAATCAGTAGAACAAGTATTACATATAGATTTCTGTTGAGGCAGCAGTTTGATCATTTGTCACTCAAGTTCATTCAATCTTACAGAGGGAATAGGAAGCCCCCAATCACAACAGTGGAGAAAATGAGTATATAATCATTGTTAACCTTGATTTATGGATTATGCCACATGCATATTTATAACTCCAATTTGGAGACAACAAATCATTACTGTAACCATGCAAAGTCTTGTTTATTCTGTGAATCAAAATCGTTATTGATTTGAGAGCTAAAATTCAGCAGTCCATTAATAAAAAGAAAATATTCATAACGTGTATAATTTAGGTTACAAGAGATTTCATTGGCTTTTCCTCCCTGATTAATACCATTCTTTTCACTTGGGGTGTGACTGCCTGTACACCAAATGTTCCCTTCTTCGGTCATTAGATGATGCAACTGCTGAAAACTGATTTGTAGCATTGTTTATGACATTATTTGAATGGATCCATGCTGCCTGGTTTCATACACTGGAAAAAAAGAGACAAATGTAGTAAAAGAAGGAGAGAATTACATTAACATTTTACATTTTTATTTTTGTAACATGAAAACAATCCACAATACCAGAAGATACTTAACCAAGCTGATTTCCAAAAATATTTCTATGTATGCAAAAACTTAGCATGTTGTTATATATGGTATAAATAAATGAATTGATTCCCCTTTTCGTTGCATCAAATTTCTAAATGCATGTTCCCTTGAGTTATCACACAGTTAAATTTATTTTTGGAGGACAACGCACCACTGTAGTGTGAGTGTATTTATTTATTTACTGATAAAATATTCAGTAATCTGTAGAGTTTATTTTTCCCTCTAGCCCGAGCCCCCGTCCACCAACAAGTGGCAGCTGGACAGCTGGTTGAACAAGGTCCAAGCTCAAACCAAACCTCTGGTTCCCCCTCAGCAAGAACATCATGGCACAGGTTGGTAGATATGGAAGGTGCTTTAACTGTAACTGTGTCATAGATAAGATCGACAGAATACTTTGGTTGGATTAGAAAACGTTTATCTGAACTAATGTTCTGCTCCTTAGGCTCCATCAACCAGGGTCCACAGACTCTGTCTCCAGGGAGTGAAGCACCAGGAGTGGGTACAGCTGCAAAGGCCAAGCCTTGTGGATCCAACAGCACCCCAGTTCCAGCTGCACCAACAGTGGAGCACAAGGATACAAGAGGAGCCTTCTGGTATTAGATTGAAAATTTGCCAAAATAACTAATCAAGTAAAGAAGCGAATACCTCAGCCAAGGCCCAAGTAATTATTCTCTGAGAAAACTATGAAAATTGTGAAGAAAATTCACAACCTGATCCAGATCTACACCAAAGATTCTTCCTTGGGTCATGTTCCTTTCCTCTACAGAATTACATGGACATTGGTTTGGATATTACTTTGCATAATCCTGCTAACAAACAAACAGACAAACAAAACAAATGTAGATGAAAGCATTGCCTCTTTGTTGAAGTAAGTGAATGAACTAGTTGAGTTACTCAATGACAGGTGGTGCAACAAAATGTAGGCAACAACATGCAAACACTGGTCTCCATATCTATAAAAGACGTGAAAGAGAAATCATTTCTTGCTTTTTGCAGCCCGGGCAGAGAGAAGGCCAAGGCCAAGCTCAGCCAGAAGGCCTCAGGAGAGGGCCAGAGGTCCAAGATGAGGCTGTCGCCGGCCCTGCTGTCAGGACCAGAGGTCACGACCCCGAGGAGGAACACCACAGGAAAAAAACAGCCCAGACGGACAGAGAGGTCAAACAGTGCAGAGGATAATCAGAACCAGACATGGAGCAGAGCAAACCAGCACAGGTACACAAGAAAGGAAACGATGTTTTCTTTAGGTAATAAAAAAAAGAAAAGCTGAATCCTAAAATAAAAAACAGTTTTATACTTATTTCAAATACAAAATTATTGGTGATCTTTTGCATCCAGCAATAATTGGTTGCTTTTTATGTTACATCTAAAGGGAATGCTCTTATTCTTGTTAATCAATAAGATTTAACAATTTTCAGTCAGTAAAATGAAATAATTAAGATGATGGAGGTGCAGAATTTGTCAAAGTCAGTCTGATTCTTTGAAGAGAACGGAACAAATCGAACAGCTTAGTTCTTGTTTGATCCTTTGGAACTGACGTGTTATTTGTTAGTGGTAAAGCAGTTTCTCTTAACACCTTACTACCCAGAGTTGTCACTTAGTGTTGAGAGCTAACAGAGGCTCCAGTGCATCTTCGAGCATGCTGGCAGCTCGCCACAGAACACATCTGTTGTGGAAAATGTTCACTCTGACTAGAAGCCCTGCCAAACTGGCTGCTCAGCTTGACATTAGGCTAATGAGGAAAAAGAACAAACTTCCCTCTTTTCTTTTACTCTCTTCTCCCTCAATCACTTCTCTTTTTCCCTCTTTTCTCTCATTTTAAAGTTCTCCTCATCTTCCCAGTTCAGCTGAATACATGCTGTTTTCAATTATTTCACGCTGTCTTGTATATTTTTTCATTTTTAAACATATTCGCCCCCTGGAGCTGACCAAAGTAATCTTCTACTGTTTATCAATGTAAAACTTTGCTCAACAAAGCAGTGCCTTGCTCAAGGCTGAATTTAACATGTTTTGTGACGGCTCCTCTTGCTGTGTTTCCTCCCACAGCAGCCCTGCAGCGAGAGAGAAGGACCTGTTGCCGTCCCCCTCCCTGGAGCATCAGAACCCCCAAAGGCCGCGCAGCAAACCCCCCAGTGGGAAAACTGCCCCCAGGAAAGAGCCTCGCGGTGGTGCCAACTCCAACAACAGCACAGTGACTCCACCAGCAGTGCTACAGCAAACACCTGCGCCAATACCTGCCGTCAGTGTAAACCAGGTTAGTTTATGGGGGGTTGGAGAAGACTTTGAGAAGGGAGAAATTCCAAACAATTGAAGTGCATGACTCAAGCACTGGAAGACAGTTCAAGAGCAAGTCCCACACTTACAGTTTGTAACACATTGTGCATGTATTCTGTAATGATTACTTCATCTTACAGTCTCTGGATGATCTTCCATGAAGTCATAAAACTCCTCAGCATAAAAACGGTATTATTACATGATTATTATGGCTCAACACTGGCTGGTTTTATCGAAATATGGAGAGTGTGTGAGAGGGAGAGAATAGAAGGGACAAAGAGATGGAACTGAATCATCGTCCATCGTTTTAACCTACGAGTTAACGCTCAGTGGTTTTATGAAGATTAGGTAGTTTGAAGGAGAAAGAAAGAAGGAAAGAAAAGGAATAAAGAGAGAAAGAAAGTCACTTATACACTCAAATGACTTTATGTAAGTAAGACGTTTATAGAAAAGGACAGGACAAAAAAGATGATATACAGATTGTACCAAATAAAAATGACAAAAGAAGGTGAAATATGTTCGGCAGTGGATTTGAAACTTGTTCCCACTGTTGTTCAGGATTAAAGCCATCAGCACTCTGCATTGTGACAATTTGAACAAGTGCAGATCTGCAGAAACAAAGAACATATTCATTTTCATACACATTAGGGACAAGAACAGCTGTTATATGCAAACAATGACTGTGACACAAAATACTAGCAATGTGCAGCTCATCTGTCATAATCCAAGAAACGATTTACAAAACATGTCTGATCCTGACATCTGCCACCTCTTCAACCGCAGTGAGGGGTGAGTTTTATCACTGTGGCAAACATAGACTATATATTTAGATAGACAACATGACTGCTCCCAAAAGTGAAGCCAAAGCATCTCGATCGCCACCTGATGGCTGGCTGCAGTGTCGCTCATAGAAACCCTGCCTCCTTCATGTTAGTGAACTGACCAAATTAAAAAGTCACAGTACATGTTGATAGAAAATGTGGTGGTTTCTGTTATTATATGTATCACACTGCGATATTTTTGCTTTGTTTCTGGGCAATACAAGAAAGTGAGGACATGTCATTCATCTTTATATACACTCCATGGCGGCATTCATATTATCTGCTTTGGAAAAAGTAAATAAAAGACAAAAAGATGGTTAGACAGCAAAAAAATTAAGACTCAACCATCATACACAATTATACTGAATTTGAAGTAATGGTTCTGAGGTTACGGGCTGCCATCTTACATCTACTGTCCTGTATCAGGGTTTACACATAATCTGCAAACTGAGTTCAAACCTGAACCAGCCGAAAAACTCTCCTCTTTTGCAAAAACAAATTATAACCTTCCCTAAATTACCTGGAAATCAAGATGAGTGCTTACATCTGCAACCTGTGCTTTGAGTGCAGTCACCACATTTGATTCGCTGCCAGTCTTTCTGTAGCTGTGCAGACCAGCTGGCAGGACAGCTAATTTCAGTGTCAGCACAGCTTCCCACAAAAAGGGGCTGAAGACTTTTGCTCAAGAAAGAAAATGCTTCTGCCAGGAGTGTAAATAAGAATTATACACAGGACCATTTTTTTCCTTTTTTTCCCCTCTTTTTCAACAAAGCACAACGTGGCATTTATTGGGAATGGATTTTTGCAGACGGCAAAATCCACTGGATCGATTCCAAAAGCTTGAGAAAACCGTCGCCTTGTTGCTGCCAAGCGAGCAGGTTTCGCTGGAGACTGGGAACATTAGCAGTGCTGTCTTTGTTGCATCTGCCTCTGTAGTTGTCTTCTCTGGATGGTTGTACAAACACAGCACTGCAGCTCGTTGATCATTCCACATCTAATATCAAGAATCCAGGGACATTTAGGGACGATTTAAACTGGAGACAGCAAGATAGTGAAAGAGCTGCAGCTATATCTACTAAGAAAATGACTGGTTATAAGCTGCCTTTAGACATGAAATGAAATCTGGACATTTTCCTGAAATTATCCAGATGGGCTAAATGTGAGAATACAAATGTCATCGTTGTTCTCGACATTTTCAAGAACCTTTCCTGCCAGATCCCTCATAAAATGTCTGAAAATGTCTCAGGGAGCCCATGTGAGAATATTGCAGAAAAAGTACAGTTGTACATTATGTCAGCGCGATAGAGCTGAGCTACACTGTTATAGTGAACATGGGCTCTAAAGACTTTGAAGTATTATACTTAATACACCAAAGTAAATATTCACTATGTCAAGAAAGGATTCAAAGTAAGAAACAAATAGAACAAAAATATTTCAAACATGAGTCTGACCCTGACATTCACAATGAGACGAACACGTTTCATTTCACTTCACAGATTAGTGGATACTTTCTACAAATTGCTTTTTGTTGCCTTAAACATATATCATGTCAAATGGTAAGAAGATTTTTTAATGCGGTCATAGTTTAGCAAGCAAAGTGAAGGGTGTGGAGAGAACACAGCTTATGTGTATTTTATCTGTGTCACATTTTCCTTCTGCGTGATCCTTACAGGTTGGTTCATATCAATAATTCCGACCCATTCTTTTTGCTGTTTTACGTCTCTAAAGCAGGATAAGAGGAAGCACAGAGGGCCAAGCACCAGAATCACACCCAAGTCCCGGGAATTTATCGAAACAGACTCCTCCTCCTCCTCCTCAGAATGCCAGTCAGAGTCGGAGGAAGCCATTAAAATCCCCGCTCTGCCGCAGACAACACGCCCTGCCATTAACACGCAGACTCTGTCCAGCACGCACATGCACACACCTCCCCTCCCATGCCTTGGCCCTGCTGCCAGTTTGGGGAGTCTGGGGACATTTGGAGGTAAAGGACTGCGAGTCAAAGACAGTAGCAATGTGACCACTAATGGTAGCAGCAGTAGTAATAGTAGTATCAGTAGTGGAAACAATGGCAGCAGTAATAGCTGTAACTCTCTAAGCATTAGCAACATAAGTGGCTCCTTTGGTCCTTCTGTTCCGGATCCTGGAGGGTTAGGAGGACAGTGTAAGGACCTGGAGTCCATGTCACCACCTTCCAACACGGGGCACGAGGTGCCACTTTCCCCCCTTAGGGAGTACCAGGAGATCCAGAGTTTATGGGTGAAAATCGAACTGAGTTTGCTCAGCAGGGTGCCCGGCAGCCAAGGTTTAGGGGAAAGATCCCGGGTGGGACTGGCAGAAAGGGACGGGAGTGAGGGGAGGGACAGGGACAGGCAGGGGGAGAGGACAGGTGTGGGAGAGAGAGAGAGACAGAAGCAGGAAGACAGAGAGTGGCCAGGGCTGAGAGAAAGACAGAGGGTAACTAAAGGGGAGAGACAGGAGGACGAAAGTGAGCGATTGGTGCAGGACAGAGACAGGCAAGGTGACAGAGACAGATTAACAGAGAGAGAGAGGCAAACGGATAGAGAGGACAGAGAAAGATTAGGGCTTGGGGAGAGGGAAAGGACGACGACGAGGGACAGAGAGAAGGCATGCCTGGGTCTGGGGGTCCTGGACAACCCCCCTGTGCAAGAGCAGAGTAATCCCCGGCTGGCTGGGAGGACAGAGAGAGGAGAGAACGAAGGTAAACACAGGAGACAAGCAGCTGGGAGCACGATGGTCCCAACAGAGAAACACGCCAGCAAGAACAAAAGGAAACACAAGGTGTGTGTAGAGATTTTTTTGTGTGTTTTTCCACCTTGTTACTTGCAAACACTCTTCTCTCCATCTCTAACACATGTGTTCTCTGTTTGTCTATGGTCCCAGTCTGACCACACTGAGTCATCAGTCAACGGCAACAAGAAGCTGCGACTGGACAAAGACTGTCAGCTCCTCCCACCCTGCATCTCTCCGATACACAACCACAAGAACAGCTCTACAGAGTGAGTTTTAACAGCTTCCCGAGGGACTAACATAAGAGTACACAATACTGTAGAGACGTATCAGCAAAATCATGAGGTTGAGACTCTTGAGACTTACAGTGGAAGATCTAAGAATGGAGGCAGATACTGTATCAATATTAATCCACACACTGTCCACAATGGAGCTCAGCCTTATCCTGTTATACAAGGCATTTATTTCATAAGATATTTTTTCTAGAGCTGTATAAATACATGCACATCTTTCCAAGGCCCAGCAATTCAGCCCCTCATCCAAACACAAACAGCGTTTTAAGTCGCTATAAGAGACATTTTTTAGTTTTTCAAATCACAGATTTGTGTATCTGTGTGAACCAAGCGTTGTGATGACATCACAGTTTCCTTCATGCATGCCCCCTGCTGCTTTGTGTAATGAGTATGTGCCAGACACAACAGCTGTTGCCATATATCTGATTCTCTACGTTTGGATAGCAATGCTAGGTCTAAGTCTGCAGCTAAACTTAGCATCACTGCACCACGTTACCACGTTATCCACAAGTGGCTACCTCCCCCAATATTACTTGGACGGCAGCGTTCTTCTCTGGTATTTGATGGATCATTGATATCGGCTTTATTGCCACCTACTGGTGCTGCATGCTTGTTTGAGCTTTTATAACAGCGTTTGATATTTTATGAAACGAAGGTCACGTGGTGAGAGAGTTTTTTTTAAATGCAGGACAGAATTTGACAATACAAAAATTACATGCTGAAAATAATGAAACTACCCACAAGAGTCAGCAAATTACATATAAAGCCCAATAAAAACCACAAACGAGAACACATATCAAAACACTTCGTATTTTGGTCTAACAGTACAAAAATGAATAATCTTCATCAGTTGAGTAACTACATCACACACAGTAGGTTTATCGTAACCATGTATTGTCAGTCTCCTTCTCCATTATTCACCACATCCGCTCACTGGATACCACAGCCTTATGTGACTGGCACAGACACTCGTCGAGTTAATCAAGTTTATTTAAGAGTATTTTTAGGAGGGTTTGACGTTATTAATGTGCCGATGAGTCATTAAAGAGGTGAGTCCAATTCGCACCGTGACACGACAATGACACAGTGTGAATTTTTGCTTTCCGTCTGAATTATTAAAAACAGTCTAAGCTTGCTGTTGCTATAAATAAGCCTTGACGTCACCGCTGCGGAGGAAACATTTTTTATAGCATCTCCGTGTTGTGATAGAAAATACAGCGGGGGAGGTGGGTGGGGTGTGACCCAGAGTTGAACTCTTGACATTGTGTGGCAGACGTCTCAGTCTGCCACCAGAGTGTCTATTTATCACCCAGCAGGCTTTTTATGGAAGCTGTAAATGGGATGATGAGCTCATTCTACCCAGACTCATTCTGTCATTTCTAACCTGCGCCTCATGACAGGTAACGTCAAACTGCTTTTATAAGTTGGGCTATATTTTGACAACAGATAATAAGATACATACATTAAGTTGAGTTTTTATGTGAGGTAGGTTTTAACAGGGACAAAATGGTGGCTTGAAACATTAGGTCATAATATTTTTTTAATGTAAGTGTTTTTATTATTTAATTACAACAAGAACAACAAGGTGCAGAAAAACCGAGAATCGGACTCTCAGGATTGTCGGTTAAGATTCCCTGAACATTTCCATCTAAATGACAAGTCAGTGACAGGATTGTTGTTAGCCGTGCCCTTTTCCCCAGGGACTGTTTGTTTGGCGGCTTGTTCAACAAGCTCAGGTGCAGGACAAGAAGCGCGATCATGTTTGTTAGATAGTGAGGCTAATGAGGGTCCTTCAGACTGGCTCTTGTGTTGTGCGGCAGTGTGACTATCTACTCTGTCTGTGATAGGCCGCTGACGGACTCTCTGTAAAGATGTTTTCTCTGTAAGTAGACTAATTGTTTTTCCTAGAGATGAATGCCAAAAAAACGCACCCTCATGAGACCAAAACATTTTATAAATATATAATATGGATAATAGAAATTAAAATATATTTCAAAGAAGAACACAGGATTTTTGATTTACAGAGTGGATAAGTACACTGTAGCAGAAAAAAAGAATGCAGTTTAATTTAATTTGGACTTTGAAAGCCTGATATCCACAGTGGTGCAGCGGTTTGAAGGAGTTCTGTGTGCAAACCCCAGGGCCATTCTGTGTGGAGTGTGTTTTTTTGTGAGGAACTCCAGTTTCCTCCCACAGTCCAAAGACGCTCAGGTTAATTGGTGATTCTAAATTGCCCGTAGGTGTAAATGTGAGCATTAATGCTTGTTTGTCTCTATATGTGGTGACCTGTTCACGGTGTACCCCGCCTCTCACCCAGTGTCAGCTGGGATTAGCTCCAGCCGCCTCATGCTCCTTAAAGGATAAGTGGTATGGATAATGGATGGAAGCCAGAAATCTTCCCACCTGGCAGAGTAACAGTTGAGTCATTGTAAATGTATTACTGAGGAAGATTTGGCAGATATACTGTGGTCATTTCGTGCTGTCGTGCCATAAATTTCTGAACTTATTATCCCTTTAAAAGAACTAGAAGCTCTCACATGCTGTCCTGCAGAGACACAAACACACACACACACACACACACACACTGTGTCCTTCTATCTTAGTGAGGACACTCATTGGCATAGTGCATCATTCTCTATTATTTACCCTAACCTTAACCATCCTAACCCTAAACCTAACAGCAAGTCTTAACCCCCAAACAGCCCTTTGAAAAAGTGAAGTTAAGCAAAAATGTCTTCACTTGGTAAGGTCTACACTCACAATGGTCCTCATAAAGATATCTGTACGAGTACACACACACACACCGACATCTGCTTAAGGATAGACACACACAAATGCACAAAACATTTGCATAGTCATACACACAACCATACCAGCACACATCAATTATGCTGCGTTCAGACACAAATCCACACACTGATACACACAAACTCCCGCACACGCACAAACACTCACACACACACATGCACACAACTAATTAGTCTTTGTCTCCCTGGTTTTGTATATTATCACTAATGTCGGGGCCTGGGGCGTTGTTCTGCGAGCTCAGCAACTTTTTTCACCGCATCAAACCCCCAGAGTTTCCCAGGCAGAGAAAAAATATAAAAATATTATCTGTTGTGTTGCAAACAATATGAGTCACGAGCCACAATAAGGCAGCCGAGGGAATAATGGTGGATGCTCAAGCAAGGAAGGCAGAATCTCAACAGTTTTGGAAGGAATACATCAATGAGCAGCTGCAAATGAAATTACAACAGCACAGTTAGGCAACGTTATCCAAGTGTGTTGAAGCAGGGTTTACATGCTGATCACTTGTGTTGCTAGAAAGCACTTTTGTATATTCAACAATGTAGATGAAACATTGTGATGGCAGATCGTCTTTGTCTAAAGAGTAATTAGTACTTTAAGACAAAAAATACACAAATAACTGTGTAATAAACAGTTAATGAGAGATTCTCTAACATCCGTCATTTATAAAAATTACTGAAAGTAGTAATGATAATAGAAATGTGGTCCACTTTAGTAAGAGAGCTGCAGCAACAGAATATGCAGCAAGCAGTGATGAATAATAGCCAATATAAACTCAAATAGCTAAGCTAGCTTTTCCTTCCTCATATACTGTGTGTCCAGAAAGTTAAAGCAGATATAAGACAACTGAAAGATGAAATGTCCCTTTACCTTGAATAAACCTGGGGATTTCTCTGAGTTTTGAAATGTATAAATGTAAATACACAAGTCAACAAAATATATAACATAGGTCTAGTTTATTTTAGACACTTGAAGGATCAAAGGTGAATGATGAATGGGTATATATGATATTATATCTATCTAAGTTCAAGAACAAGACACAACAGCAGTTGAATGGGATTAGGTGGAGTGAGAGTAGGATTGCAGGGTAAAGAGACAATATGGAGGGTGAAACTGGCAGATTGGTTTCAAGATGGGACAGGAGAGCTTGAAAATGTAAGTCAACAGTTAAACAACCAGATTTCAAGACCCTGACACTTGATCTATTTTAGAAGATCTTGTGTAGAAGAATACATAATATCCAAATGTATTATCAACATTCTTCCAGAGTATCTGGCCCCCAAAAAGGAATCATTACAGAAATTACATTAAAAAAACATTGGTCTGTTTGGCTATTTCTACTCATGAATTATTGGCCTTGGCAAAGGATATGCAGTGGTTTTATTTTTCATCATCAAAAGTCTCCCACATGTCCTCAGTGCGTTAGTGAAGATCCAGTGATATAGAAAGTAGAGGTCATAGAGGTTTATTCTATTTTTACAAAACATTTGAAAACCACTTGAGCTGTTGAGGTTACTGCAGTAATTGTTGGAGACAGAAAGAATTTCAAATCTGATTTTACCAGAATCCCTGAAGCACACGCATTTCTTTTAGTCGGAGGGAATGTTTTCACACCGCAAACGACTGAAGTAATAACAATATAAATGGTGATACTGAAAGAGTGCTTTATATAATATTAGTGGGTTTATGAAACATTCATCTGTCTGTGCTGTGAGTGTTTTGAGGTGAAAAAATGCTCTCGGGCTGGTGGAGTCACTGCAGTCCTCTGACATAATAGACCATTTGTTGATTATCATTTGTTGTTCATCTTATTTCCTCTTGTCAGGATTAATTTTGATTCTTTGATTTAGGAATAGTGTTGAAGTTTGGAAAGGCCACAGTCTTTATGAACATATGACAAACTTTAAAAGGGAACCTTCATGTTGTTTATTGTGCATTAACTTATGACCATTATTGGGAAATGCAGCACTGCTTTACCTCCTCATCCTCCCAAACCATTGAGCTGTGAAACATTAAAGCAAATCAAATCAAGCATTAAGCACAAGTTATTGAGATAATTATATATAATAAGATAAAAAGATTGTATTTACTGTCGTTATAGTAAATAAAGATATAACCATTGTGTTGTTATGTGTGTGCCTTTGTGTATTTAGTATTTCCCTAAACAGGAAGCAGTCTCGACGGCGCAACGAGAAGCTGCTTCCTCCCCTCCTGTCGCCCCTCTCTGACGATCCCCCACGTAAACGAACCTGCGACAGCATTTCCTCTCTCAGCCAGGAGGGCGGCACCTCAGGGATTCTGCCCTGCTCCACGACATCCACCTCCTCCTCCTCCTCCTCTCACAGGCACAGGAGAGGTGAAGGCAAGGTGTCATCACATACGAGAAATGGCAGCGTGAGTCTCCCTTCCCATTCAGCATTTTGTTTGCACAAATGTAAATGCACATTAATATATGTTGGTCACTGCTGCCTAACTCACATGTCATCAAGCTCCAGGGATAATAATTTCCCTGGAGCTTAATAACATAGACTGTATATAAAGATGAGCAACACGTCTTCACTCGCTGCCATCTTGCACATTCGTAGCCAGAGTCTGTGCCGTAGCGATCCGGAGATGGGACTGCGGCAGCGAAGTCTCTTCTGACGTTTCGCCCTGTTTTTATAGCATCCAAAAACTAATTAAAACCAGCTTACAGAAAAATTAGCAATTTAACAAACATCAGTGTAATAAGAACTACTTGAAATGACAGAAACCATCTTTGACGGAAATGTACGTGAACTGTAGTTTGAATTTTTAGTTAGATCCATGTCCCATTCACAAGAATTATGACCGGTTCTGCAGACAGCCACCAAACATTTTGGCTTCATGATGGGGGGCTGTCATGTCGTCCATCTCTAGATATACAGTCTACGGTTTACCTGAGAATATGTTAAATAATCTTGAGTGATAGAAGGCTGGTGTTATCTTCTCAAGTTGCACTGTTCTAATAATGTAGGAATCTAAAGCTCACCACACATCTCCAGCATCATGTTCCCTTACACCTGCAGTTTGTTTGATGTCACTAACATATCTGAATGTTGGTGGTGCATGAAAAGCAGCAGGACAGATACCGACAGCAGTACCTTCAATTCAAACAGCCCCCAGTAAATGATTGAATGTAGAAGCAGGTATGGATGAAAACAACAGTCATATATTAAAATAATATTTAAAGGTTTACCTTGAAAGTTTTATTCCCTTCAGGGGAAAATAAAGCACAGAAGTGTTAACATTAGTTTTGACATTCAGATAAACCCAGTAAAATGCAAGCGAAGTACATTACCTACAGATGGCACAAATGACTCCAGGCCTAAAGGGCAACAAGTGTGATTGGTGGGTTTGTTTCTGAAGAGTTTTAAAGCCAAATTTAAAGCACATCTCCCTTCATCACCCCCCCCCCCCCCTAACCACTGACTGCTGCAGTTCAGCAGGCAAGTCAATCCATCACTGTGAGTGAGAGTTTAAGTGGCTGCTTGATGAAAGCCACACACTGTAATACTAATTAATACTATAATAACCACAGATTTCAATGCCATGCCTACAACAGGAAATGGATCCCCCGAGCGAGAAGCCCTGTGGCGATGGTTACCATGCCAACGGACAGTCAGATTCGGATGTGTGGTCTGAACCACTGACGGAAGCTGCAGAACCTCGCAGGCCAAAGCTGTCGTTTAGTGACATGTATGTATACATACTGTTTACCATACACACCAATATGTACTTTTATATTAACACGTGCCCGTTCTAATCCTGCCTGTTTGGAATGGTCTGCTTGACCTGTGTTATTGCTGGTTGCAGCTTTCTTTCTGAAACTTTAAAAGCGACCTGCAGTAGAACTTTTGTCATAATCAACAACGTCACTTACGTTGATGATTCTCAGCGGCCACTGCTACAAAGAACTGGTCACCAGTTGATTCAAAGTGATAAGAAGAACAGTTCAGATATGCATTCAACATAGATAGATAGATAGATAGATATGTATACAGTCTTTACCACATCAATACTGTGGTAATGACTACCACTTGAGTTGTGGTGGAAACTTGAATTTTTTTGTCCAAGATATTTGTTGCTTATTTGCTTGATCTCACTATAGCATCAAACTTTCAAAAGTATTTATCCACAAGGTTTTTTTTCCTAATCTATCCTAATCATTGTTATTTCCATTCATGTGTAATTGCCTCATTTCCTTTGTTTAAACACATCAAGTGTTTCCTCTTCATGTGGAAGTGTGTCTGTTTACTCTGCTGTGTATTAATAGAATGTGTGTAGTTTTTCCAATCAAAAGATTTTATTTATATCTTCTCTCTTGTCTGGACCGTTTTAATACATTCCAGTGGGACAGAACAGGGATTTCCCAGAACTTTCTTTACTGTTACCTCAGTTTCTACATTGTATTTTACATTGAGGACCACCAGGTTGAACTTGACAGAATTATTGCTTTATGGCACAAAGGGACTTTTTTAATGGTGTATAACGTCAATCTTCAGTTTCAACACTAAAGTTTCATGCAGGTGGGGAAGTGAGTGAAAAGCTCAAGAGATCTAAAAGATGCTACACCACTAGAATTATAGAGTGGCTGCTAATTATCTCCACCATGACCCAATCCAAAATCCAGTCGACCTCAACCAACCGGAACAGAGGGAGAACATCACCACTGGCAGCTGCATGATGGTCCACCAGTTACTGAGCAGCCGCAGTCAAAAAGAATAACAATACATGTCATTTACCCCTGAACTGTACGAGTCACACTTGTCTGCCACCAGACCTCTGCACTCTGCTGCTCAGCCTCTGCAGCTTCTTCCACACCACTCCTGTCCTGAAGCTGGATCCAGTTCAAGGCTCTGGTGCAGGCCAGTGAAGGGAGCTGACCTTTCCAACCTCCAACACTCTGAACATGCTGTTAGTTGGAGTTTTTTTAAAAAGGGTCTTTAGCTGTAGCTCCAGTTTGAATGAGAGTCGCTTTGGAAAAAAGCTTCTACCTTATGAATGTAACATCTGGTTTAAAATAGAGAATGTGTTCAGGTTTTAACTTTATTTCATTAACTTTAATTTATTAAAATGAAGACCATGTTAAGTAAAATTTAAGACCTTTGTCAGATTCTCTTTCATATATGATGGAAGTCCCAGAATTACACACATTTCACATTTTTAAACGAGGATGGGGTGAAGTAGCTGAGTAGAGAATTACACATGGGCCACACTCTGTGAGGTTTCTTTTGAAAACATATAAATGGATTCAGTCACCCGTTTTACTTTGAAACGGGTACAGGAAGTTTTTGAAATATTTATATTTTTGACATATTCGAAAGATAAACATAAAAACTGTGGTTTAAGATATTTTCAGTGTCTATTCTGCTGTTAACCGCACACAGTACATTGAGAAAATAGGCAAGACCTTGACTCTCTTGAATAGCAGCCAGTGTGACCCGGACATTAGCCTCGAAACACTGCATTATCTCACTAACAGCAGGCAGTGACAGAACTAATCCCATAGCGTTTATTCAGTCTCAGAATTAGTGCACATAAAAATCAAGCGTGGGCTTTTGATACAGTGCACAGAACAATATCCGGGGAACCTGTCCTTGTCAAGTTGAATGTTGAGACATTGGAGGTGGCAGTGGCTGATGCTCCTCTCCTTCAATTGGTCACACTCCAGTCCCAAGCTTCCCTCTGATCTTCTGACCCCTTCCTCTTCATTTTTCTGGAGCTATTGTAAACATTGTGGGTCAAATATACCACTGCTGTCGACACTTGTGTTGAGGGAATTCTATAAATGCCTCAATGTAGCTCTTTTTTCCAAAACTCCAACGTTTCCCCGACATATTCTCGATGGTTCTGCTGCCAAGAAGGAACAGTGAACGCAGAGCACAAATGCTCATTTACAAGTGTTTCTTTCCGCTTGCTGTTCTGTGTGCCTGCAGAGGAGAAATGTTCTCTCACCAGTATGTTTTGCATTCATGGATATTATTCTGTGCTCTGTATCATATGCGCCGGCAGGATTTATACATGCATGAATTTAGAACAGCCAAGCCTAGTGAGATAAAGTCTGTAGGTTATCAGTTAAGAGTTAATTTTAAAGTATGTTGCTAGGGGGGTTCAATATATGTGAACAAAATTAAGACGTACTTTAAC